AAAATCAGCTATGCAAAAAGACATTCATTTATTAACATGCTTCCATTTTAAAGTTCCCCTCTCATATAAATCACTAACCAATAATTCTGTCTAACTTAATGCCTGGCTCTCGTGCTGCAGGAACATTGTGCACAAATGAATAAAATCCCAATATCTAGACGGATCAGCAGCGTTTTCGTTCAGTGCAGCCACAAGGTGTAATAATATCTAACAAGCACCCATTATGCAACAACATTCACTCCTCTTTACTAAATGTATGAAAGGACACCTCTCCATTAGTACAATGTTTAAAAACTGGGCAGATGAGAATTACAGAATATAGTCATTTGAACATTCATTGGATCTGGCTTCTATTTTGATTGAGTTTTGTAATTTGGAGCATTTGTATAAACTTTGAAAAATGACAAGATTGGAGCAACAAACTATGGGAGAAATAACTGAGCTCAACTCTGAGTGAGCTGAACTATTCACCAACTAATTTGAGTGCACTTGAGCAATGATGTTATTTCCAGTATATTAATTCAGCTTCCTCACAATGTTAATATAATACAAATAATCCTTACATTTTATATAACACCTTAACGCGTCTATATGTCTCAAAAATGATTTCTTTATAAAGTGTATTTTTACACTGTGTATTTTTAGACAAACAGATATACAGTTAACTTGCACACAGCAATATCCCAAACATAATCTTTTTTTAATCTGGGGGATTATTGGCCAGAAAAATAATCTTTTTGAAGTGCCATTGGATATTCAACATTCACCTGAATTGACAGAAGATACTTCAGTTGAACATCTCATCCTAAGGACATCAATCAGACAATGCAACTCTGCCCCAGCACTGCAATGGATTGTCAGTCTAGAGTCTCTAAACTATGAGTTTAAAGTCCTGATGTGGGTCTTGAACCCATAACCTTCTGATTTAGAGATGAGAATAATACTGTGTTAATTGAGCTGGGAAATATTTTTAAGTAATGGAACAATACAAAAATAAAATCCTAAATATATTAGAAATCACCATTTGTTACTCTGAGTTGGAATTACACACTCCAATTACAAATTGCTGCATATTAGACTCGCACATTTCTTTTTTATGGTGTGAACATGGCTTTCAGACCCTGGAGAATTGAATTCATTTGGACTAAAACAATTTTAAAGACGGATTCTCTATTTCAGCATGACAGTGGGATAAAAATTATGCGGGAAATTCCAAGACACATGGCTAAAGTGTAGAGTTTGTAAGACGGGTCCCTCAAAGGTAGTTCAGTAAACCTTGCGAGGTGCGTCTGTGCACTCTAAAACTTTCTTATGAATTTAAATGTATATTCATGCAATAAAAACTCAGCACAAATTAGACAAGGTAGTCAGCAAGATTTATGATGTCCATTAACACTGGTTAGACTTACATAAGGGATTATTGTAACTATTTGAGTATCAGTGTATTATCACAACCATGGTTTTAGTCTTTTGCAAAATTTGCGGACTGTTTGCAATTAATAAATGATTGGTGTTTCATTAACACAATATTTAGTATCATAAAACGTCAACTTTTTTTTAAAAAGATCTTTTGTGTATAAATCAGGCTAATCCTAGGAGGTTATTACTCACTGACAACAATAGAGTTTGTGTAATATTCATTTCCAGAAACAACTTGGTAGCAATTATTCTGGTGTTGGACTGTCTGTCAAAGAAACCCAAGTTTGAATTCCGGCTGCCAATGATATTCACTCCTCTGCTTTCCCTTAGAGAATGTATTGTGCTTGATTTGGACTGAGACCTCTATGAGAGTATAGGGAATGGGGAGTTGGGGGTGGGGGAGTTCCTTTTTACACTGGTCACCAGACACCCAGCAGCTTAACAAAGGGGCAACATGGCAATGCCTACATCTAGTTCAGAAAGAAAGATCTGAGGAAAGGTTAAACCTAATGCAAGTGTGCTACAAAATATGAACAATTTAATGTGAATATAGTCTGCTTTTATTTTTAAACAATACCTTAGTAAAATAAAATGTAATCTACGATACTTTTGTAGGAAAAAAACAAGGATCATTTGTCCCTTTTATAGTTGAAATGCTACACTTTTCTGGGAATTTTATAATCATGAATTTTAGAAATCATAAATGTTTGAAAAGACAAACATTCAGACAGAAATATTACAATGTGTAAATAGTGACAGCATGATAAAGTATTGGAACTGAGGAAGAAGTCTTCATAGCTTTAGATATGCAGAAGCAGTAATTCTCTACAATTCTGAAATTAAACCCAGTTTTTCTTTTAACAAGCTGAAGTAAATATACAGTAGTTCTGTTCTGAGTCTTCAAGAATGATTACATTTCTAAATAAAAATATTCATCTACACTGCATCCTGATATTTAGATACACACATATGTATAAATTAATCCGGCACGAAAATGCAGTGGAGTTACATAATATTCCATTCCTACATTTAGTTTAATTCATTACTCTCAAAGGAATAACCCTGTTTAAATGGTTTTCTT